TAGGACTGGACGCAAAGGGTAACCAAAAGTCAGTGCGCAAATTTGTTTCATAAAACCACATGATCTCATCGAAAGTGTTGAAGCAGTTTTAAAACTACGTGGACGTTTGTTTGCCAAAATGGAGCTTGGGTGTTGGAAACGAGGGCTAATGCATTTGTTTTCTTATTCTGACAGTGGTATGAGCTGGAGGCAGTAGAATGAACTCTGAGCATAGAGTCTCAGTTGGGACGACTAATGGGTTCCCTCGGCTGCTCGATCCAGGGAGTTTTCCTCCTCTTGGCTTGGGGTGGGGTTTCTTTTTCGATTAAAATTCCGGGTTCTTCCACAAATGAGCGCACCATTTCAACAAGCAATAAAAATGCCCTGGTTTCAGATGCTGTGGCTACATTTCACAAAAGCTAAAACATTTGTCAACACAGAAGACGTCTTTTAGATACTGGGTTGTGGAAAGGTAGGTCAGATTCTCCTGAAACAAACGGCTTGTTTGAGAAGAATTCGGTTCTCTTAAAAATCCTCATCCTGATAATTTAATTGCCTCTGGATCTGACACTTCTTTGTTAGAATTCTGGGGTACTATGTTATTTTTCGCAAAAAAATGTTGTATTTGATACGTAAGTTAGTTTTGTTACGATTGCTACCGCAATGTACGATTTGAATGGTATAAGTGCCAAAAGTTGGAGGACTTTGATTTGTCTGAAACACGTCTATGAGGCAGTTTATGCCGTCACATGTGTAAACTTGCAGTGACAAAGTGTGGAGGCCACAGAAAATGGACTGTCCATGCCGGAAGGCAAGCTCTAGACATCCATAACTTTCTGAAGATAATGTGCGATGATGAGGAAAATTCAGGACAGCCATTTTTCAGAATCCTTCTTTAAGCTGCTTTAAAAATTGTACGTTTTTAGCACGAGTTAGGGCTCTCCTTTCAGGCAATCACTGAACTGACCCCAAATGGTTGGAGGTACTCGCAGTCCTGGAAGTGGGTGCATTCATTCATACACGCTTAAATACGCCGTTTTGCGACTTCTCTAGTGCAGAGGGCAACTGAAATCCCTTTATTCCAGTTATGCAGTTTTCCATATTCTAAGTTTTTTGACACGAAACCGTAGCCCTGGAGATGCGTAAAAGCATTGCAAAAACCAAGGCGTATTGTGCATACGAATCAATCGTGGACGTATCATGTGCGTTGGTATTTAATGTTGCACGAATAATTGGTTCAATCAGTAATGCCCTAAATGACTGCGGTGCTCACGAGGAATAAAGAATGCAGACAGTCGGAGTGTGGGTTAGCAGAAACGCCAAGCGAAATTTGACTTCTTCGTCTGCGTATGAATTTACTTGTGAAATTAGCCGTTTCCATACACTCAATAGGGGTAAGCGCAGCTTCGTATGCCCCTTTGTTCCCCTTCCCTCATCGTTCATACCCTCTTCCACGGCTTTCAAACGCTGCTAGCTCGTGAGCGCTACCACAGACTTAGTTGTAGCCAAACCGGAAGTCACTTTAATCAGCGTGTCAATCGACAGTGGCTCCGTTCCCTCCCATTGTGAATACCCTTTCTCCCATTCTTTTGCCCAAAATCACTAAGCCTACTTGGGTTGAGAATGGAGTTGTTTCCTTTTATTACGCAACCTATAGCCAAGTACTGCTCTCTGAAGTCCTTTTTTTGTCCAAAATTTCTGCAAATATGACTCTTTCTCCTAAGAGCACTGCTTTCTTGTCCAGTAGAGTTCACTTTAACTACCGTTTTACATTTACTTAATTACGTGCTATAATACAGCAGTTTGGAAAAGTTCTTAAGGAATGAAACGAAGGTAAAACGCGCTAGCACTAGTGTTGCACAATTTCGACCGCGTAGATCTTTGAATTACAATGCAGTTTTTGTTGTTCCACACAAATACGTAAAACTGCCTGTAAGATCAGGGAAAGACCTGTGCAATTTCCACTAATTGATCAGGCAGAGCAGTGGGGTTTGTATAATGTCCAGCGCTTTGAATGAAAGATGGCTGTGCGTCCATAAGGTGTAAATGGGATTTGGGAATGTGTTTACAAGCGCACGAGCAAATTAACGCGTTACTGTCAGCATGCTGTGTTACGGTATTTTCTAAATAAGCAATAAAAAAGCGATCTCATATCTTCAATGATAGCAACAGGCTTAAAGAACAGCTGCTTGCAAAGCAGTCTACCTGCGACCTTTTTCGCATACTGAAATCTTGCCTCGCGGACTCATGATTCTCTATGTGATTGTCAGGTGAATGCTCACTTGTCAGCGCTTACTGCAACGGCAGAACTGGATGAAATGGAGAATACGTGTCTTGGGTCTTGTAAAGTACCCGCTAGGGACAGTCAGTGACTAACAGTCCAAAAGGCATGTAATTGCAGCAGCGACGTGACATTCAGACCCAGCAGCATAAAATGCTTCAGTAAGGAATACAAGCACTGCAAAATGCACAAAGAGTTTAAGAACTGGTAAATAACTAGCAGCTCTACTAATGCAGCCTTGTATTGAGGTGTCAACCAACGCTAAACATTCCTTCCTAAGCGGAAATTAGTTGTCAGTAAATTGACGCTCGCGCCTAATCCTGTGCTCCAACGCGAAGATTGAACCTTCAAACTTGTACTGCGAGTTAGCATTAATATTGTTGACAAAGCTACTGTTAATGCAGCCTTCAGCGATGATCCGCAAATGTAGACGAAGAGCAGAACAGAAGTCGTAAATAGCGAAGAAGAACACTTAGGTTAGTACTCTGCAGCACTTTTATTGCGTGTGCTTTTGACTATAGGTGAAAGCAGTAATTACCGCAGTCGGCCAGGTGTTAAGTGGCTTGCTGCTAAAATGCCGTGTTTTGTGGCTTTTGCCTTCTATATGTTGGTTCAGAGGTCTGTAAAGTCGGAAAGCGTTGTTCGTTTAACACATTTAAATGATGTTAAGCTTTCTGTCGATACAGTTTGAAGTCTTGGTTGCTGACGTCTGTCTTTACGTATGCGGCTCAAGACTCGATTGTTCTGGGGTCGGTTGCTGCGGTAGATCTTAACTACGACGAATGACAGGAATCACAATGCTCTCAAAGTGTAGATGAGCTCAGAACTGCGCCTCTGCCTCAGCGCGTCTTGACAGGTGCCGCTAACCTGTCCGCGAAAGGCATGTATAGTCGTCTCATCCGAGCAGTGCTCACCGAGGCG